CCCCCCCCCCCCCCCCCCCTGCTGGTTCACATCAGGGATTACAGCAGTGCAGGTCTCCTCTGCTGCAGGAGGCCCTCCGCTGTACGGGTTGTGTGTAACCTGCCTCTCTCTCTCTCTCTCTCTCTCAGCAGGGTCGTCCATCAGCAGTGAATCTTCTCCCGTCTCGTCCCCAGCCACCAATCACAGCTCTCCGGTCAGCACGCCCAAGCGAGGGCCCATGGGCCCTATCATAGTGCCGCCGGGGGGCCACACCGTGCCAAGCACCCCCCCTGTGGTCACCATTGCCCCCACCAAGACCGTCAACGGGTTATGGAGGAGCGAGAGCCGGCAGGTGAGCGCGGTGCCCCCCCGGTACTGGCCGCATTTTCCCAGAAGCCTCTTTGGGGACCTGGTTGCCGGTAGCTCGCGGGCCATTTAGAGTGAGCGGGAGGAAGCGGCTGAGATTTTCTAGCGCCGGGGGCAGGGTTAGGATGCAGCCTGGTGAGCTGAGAGCGCAGCCTCTCTGTAATGAAGCCTGGCCTCTCGCTGGGGGGGCAGGCGCTGTGTGCAGGCCTCATTAATTCACAGGAAGCAGAGTGGAGTCGAATGCAAGGCCTCTGGGCGCTGACCATCAACAACAAGCATCCCTCCCTCCCCCTCCCTCTCTCTCTCTCTCTCTCTCTCTCTCGCATACACTCTCCCCTCTCACACTCTCTCTCTCTTTTGCTGGCACTCACTGAATTTTGGCTACTGCCAAAGCGAAGCAACGAATATTATGTAAATAATACAGATAAATCAGTTAAACAGCAGACACATCGAACACAAAAGGATAAATATGACGCATGTGGTTGGTATTCGCATTATAAATGAACACGCTATGGAAATGCGTATGTGTGCTGCAGCATGCGCTCGCTATATATGCGCTCGGTGTAATGTGCATCTCTGGCTGTTCCCCTCCCCCTGTAATATGCGCTTGTCCCTCTGCTCAGCCCCCCCCCCCCTTTTCAGTTTTCTGCCTGCTTTCGGCAGCTGGTCGCCCCTCTGCTCACACCACAGGAAGCCTATTTAAATCCCCACCTCCCAGTGCAGCCTTTCCCGCACATGCACTCGCACGCAGACGCGGATCACGCAGCCCCGCATGGCCGTGCCGGGCCACTTCTGCGGCCGCCCTCATTCTGGAGCTCTTATGCTTGTGGGTGGGGGGGGGGGGGGGAGTGTGTGAGGCCAAGGCTAGCTCTGATAAGGCTTGACTGGATTACTCCGGGAGAGCTAATCCGTTTGATCTGCCCTCTGCAGTTAGCGGAGAGCTTTAGCGCGCTGCTGCTATCACAGCATGGTGGGTCGCTATCAGTGGACAGGGGCTGGTGGGGGGAGGGGGCCGGGGGGAGGGGGCCGGGGCGGGTGCAAGGCTAGCTGTGGCCTCCTGCTCTCCAGCTGCCCCAACTTATTAGCCTATCCCAGAGGAGGTCAGAGGTCATCTGACTCCCCTACAGAGGTGAGTCATCAGAAGGTCACACTGTCTATAAAACAAAACACACTGCCCCCCCCCCACGCACAACCCCTCAAGATACAAAAAAAAACAGCAGATGCTGCATTTCCCATCAGAACGGCTCATTCCTCTGGCTAATTGCTGTAGATGGTTCCTCAAAGGAGGGGAGGCTGAGCCGATCTGCAGATTAGCGTGCGCCCGTCCTGCGGGGCCCGTCTTGCGGGGCCCGTCCTGCGGGGTCCGCCGCCGCGAGAAGGAGTGTGTAAGTGTGCAGATAATGGGGAGGGGCTCAGGCATCCAGACTGGGATGGTGCGGGGGGGCAGGGTGGCAGGAAGGGGGTGGCAGAGGTTCAGAGGAGGATATTGTTGGGCAGAGAGGGGTGACGCCCCCCCGCGCACCATCAGGCTGAAAGAGGACAGATTAGTTCCGACGTGGTGAATAACGGCGCTGTGGCGGCTTATTGGAGCCGTTATTCAGCCAGGGCTCAGCGGGCTCCTTTAACTCCACCGTCATCGGGACGGGTCGGGGGGGGGGGCTCCTCCCGCACCAAAACACACACAAACGCACTCGCTCAAAACTGCCTTTCTCTGCCTGGACAAAGGGGCCTCTGTCTGCTCCAGCTTCATCCTTTGAATCATCACTCAGGGAGGGGGATGAAAAAATGGAGCCGAAATGTGAGTAAGAGTTCACCCCCGGGGCTGTCAGTTCAATTAGTTCCCAAACTTTGGCCTTGTTGTCCTCGCCGTTGCCCCAAAGAGCTGCCCCTCTTGACCCATCCCAGGAAGCCCTCTTCTGGCTGAATGCAGTGCCCCTGCTGGCTGCTACGCACCATGACAGGGCCAAGGGCCCGTCCGGGGAGCATCTGTGTGACAGTCTGTCCCTGTCCCCTCACCGCTGTTGAGGACCCCCTGTGCTCCCAGAAACAGACGTTTTTAACGCCTAAGCTAAATCCAGGGGGGCGGGGGCGGGGGTGGGGGGGGGGGGTGTTGCCTCACCTTTTGGTTTTCTGCGCTGACTTTGTTCTGCAATCAGATAAACATGCGTGGCCTGACACTTTTCACCCAAACACCTACACCGTGTGCTGCACCCATTTTGCAAGCATCAGCAACCGCTTCCCCACGGAGAAAAATCCCTTGTAGGAACATTTTTTTCTGCATTTTTTTCCTGAATTTTTAAACCTCAAATTATTCTTTTTGCTTTTACTCTTTGGATTCTTTTAAATATGTGTGCACCATTAAATGCTCAGATTTAACTTTGGTATGATGGAGCTACATTTGGGTTGGGTGCTCTACCTTTATTTTTATCTTTAAAATGAGCTTTTGGAGGATTTCCGTTTGCCTGCTGCATCTGTGGGCTGTAGACGAGGTCCTGTTCCCTGTGTGTGTGTGTGTGTGTGTGTGTGTGTGTGTGTGTGTGTGTGTCTGTCTGTCTGTCTGTCTGTCTGTCTGTCTGTCTGTCTGTCTGTCTGTCTGTGTGTGTGTGTGCGCGCGCGCGTGCATTTTTGCAATTATGACATTGTGGGAACCAGACTTTGCCACAATGTGATAGAAGCCTTTATGCCTTGTGGGGACATTTTTTCTGTCACTACAAGGATAACCTCAGTTTTATATTAAAAAGAAAAACCTGACTGCAATCAAAAAACTAAAATAGCCAAAAGTCTTGTATTTTGTTTTTTGGATACTTATGGTTAAGGTCGGGGTTAAGATCGCCCTTGCTCTGGGATTAGGGTTATATCCATAGGAATGAACGGAGAGTCCCCACAAAGATATGAGTATGTGGACTGTGTGTGTGTCTGTCTGTGTGTGTGTGTGTGTCTCTGCCCATGAACATTCACCTGGCAGCCCTGATGTGGGGGACGGGGAGGAGTGTGGGTAGGGTGGGGGCAGCCGTTACTGCTATCTTGCTTTTCGGATATGTGTGCAGAGCGGAGAAGTGTCTGGCTTGGCCGCGGCCCGACCTCACACTCCTTATCGCAGGCGGCTTTGGCTAAGATGCGCGACGGCGTGAATTAGGGATTTTAGTTCAGGCTGTCATGTGAGTGCAGTGCATTTATAACATTGGGTGCTCCTTAAATAAAAATAGTGATACAGTAGAGACCCCCCCCCCCCACCACGCTGTCACACTGCCCTCTAGAGTTGAGGCTGTTTCTCACACCATTTATTGGCTGGATCTGCCCACTGACGGGCGCTGTTTGCAAGTCACGCACATGACCATAAATGTTTTCCTCTTCAGCCCCTCCTGCCCCCCCCCCACCACCACCTGCACACAAACGCAGCTCACCAGGCTTCAATACCCTCCGCAGAGCGTTTTGAGCCACGTCTGTAATTGAAGCTGTCACAGTTTGACATGGCAATTAGAGAATTAGCAGCTAGCTTAGCACTTTTTTAGCATTAATTGAATCATGAAGAAATGGCTAGAGGGGCAGTCTGCTGTTGGAGGGGTTGGGCAGGCGGGGGGGTGTTTTCTGCCTTTAATGCAAGTGTTCTAGCACTAAATGCCCTGCAGTCCCACAGTTAACAGCGCGGGGGAGCTGTAGCCCAGGACGCTGTCATTCGGTGTCGTTTATTAGGTCGTCAGCCCGGTCGTAATCTGCCCCCTGCCACAGACAGCGCGTGCGGCGGCACAGTTAAATGTCAAACGTTTAAATGTCAGAAATGTCCAAATGGCGGCCATCACTCCCGCTAGGCCACCTTGGAAGGGCGAGAGAGGCCAGGGTGGGGCAGGGTGGGGGGGATGGGGTTGGGTGGGGGGGGTCGCCTTTTATGTCTCCCCAGTTTGATCTCTGATTTTGACTTCTTTTGGCATCTCTGAACCACTTTCCTGCTTGACCAAGCATTCGGGTGCTCCTTAGAGACGGTCCTCACCCCCCCCCCCCACCAGCTCTCGCTGCTCACAAAGCCATTAGGAGCCTTTTCTTTCTTTAAGGGACCTCGGAAGCGAAGGGGGGCGAGGATGGGGCTGCGGGGGGGGGGGGAAGCAATACTCCAAGGGTGATGTGAGTGGATCTGGCTTGCTGCCAAGTGAAGCGGATTTAAATACAAGCAGTGCGGTGCCCTGGGGGGGTGGGGGTCTGGAGAGGTAGAGGAGAAACATCTCTGCCATTTAATATTACAAGTTAACGCGGCGGAGTCAGGACGGGTCACTGGTTGGCGGCGGCCACTCGCCTGGGAGAGACCTTGCCTTCAGCAGGGAGGTAATGGATCACTAAATGGAATTTTCTTTATCTTTGACAACAGAGCGGGACTGCTGGCCAGCCAGCGACATACAAGTAAATCTCTCACAATGGGTGCAGGAGATTAGTGTGTGTGTGTGTGTGTGTGTGCGTGTGTGTGTGTGTGTGTGTGTGTGTGCGCGCGTGTGTGTGTGTGTG